TTTGCAAAATGGACATGGATCAAAAACTATGTAGTTTTGCTCACAACTGACGAAGTCGCAACACCTCAAAGAAATCCCACTTATGCAAAAAACTGGAGTTTTTTCTTTCTTTGACAAGGACTTCATTTTCCCAGGTTCTTTTTCGGCTTTGCAAATTTAAGAGCAGAATCTCGGAAAATTAAAACAAAAAGGAAAAGAAACAAGGAACCAAAAAAAAAAAAAAAAAACAAATTGCAAAGGCTTACAAGCTGGCATGAGATGACTTACACACCAGGGAGATTGTGGTGGACATTTTATGCTCTTGTAATCGGAAAAACCTAGAGAGAGAAAACGGCATTTTACAACATGCTTTTTTCCTACTTCAAAAAAAGCATCGATATAATATTAACATCAAAACAGAAGAAACAACAAAATTGCACTTATTTTTACTTACGTAAACGATAAGGTAAATAAATATTAAAGCTCTTTCATTAGTTTCTTTGAATGAATTTTAAGCGGCTTTGTGTGACCGGGCACCGCTTTTCGACACTCGCAGTTTTTATATAAGCTGAATATTTTTGGTACATATCATCAATAAATTCTTCCCGAACTTCTTGCCAAACACGATTTTTTACATTGGGTACCGTTTCAGCATTCTGAATTGCTTCCTCAATTTGTGTATATCGCGGATCTCTGAGTAACCGTAACGACAATTCCATGGCATCTGAAACTTAGCTTCATAACAGTTTTCAAAACTTCAGTTACAGTATGGTGATGAAAATGAATTATTAAGGGGAATGAATTTAATAAAATTAAGAGTAAAAATGGTAATCAAAGAAGGACAGCAGGTAACTGGCTTGCGATACGAATACATCTGGGAAATTGCTGATTTTTCTCACTGTCAAGATACCTTCTCCTTAACTTTTCCATTTTCATTTCGTTTTGAGAAAGTTATGTAAAATAATGATACCAGTGTACAATTCAGTTAAAACTTAATACTTAATTGCCATTTTTTAGAAAATAGAGCCTTGTCAGAGTTGTTGTACTTGTCGTGAAATTAAAACTTTTCTGTTTTCCAAGAAGGAGATAGAAACACGACTGAAATAAGGGTTTTAGTGTCTAAAACAGTGCCGGCTACAAAAGAAATGGAAGTAGGAAGATAACTAAGCGAAGAAATACCACAGCGAAAAGTCTGGCTTAAATTTTTTGGTAGATCAACAGTCGCATTTCTATGCTACAAATGCATAAACACAAAACTTTTTCTTCGCTATTTACAAGAACTTCTTCTTGAGATTACTTATAACCTCCAAGTCTTTTGAAAGAGCAGAGGACTCCGCTTAGGCTGATTACCTAAAGTGGCGTTTCAATTAGCTAAAAGTTACATCAAACCAATTTGTTGAGCACTTGTATCGATTGTCAATCACTACTCAAACTGCGCTTTTCAGCTTTCTAAAAGCAACTCTTTGAAAGAAAAATAATTAGGCGTCTTAAACAAAGAAAAAAAATCTTGTTCTAAACACTGAAATATGTTGAGTAAGATTTTGCAAACAAAACGTTTAGTCATAATGAAAAATTTACTAGAAACAAAATGGTCTGACTAATTCACGCTAAAATAAACCTATTCTGCATCAGCAGCTGCTTATTAGGCTAATTCCTCCTTTCAAAAAATTTTTCAATATTTAACATAAAAATTGATTCAGAAATTAACGGTATTTCCAGTTCTAGGCTATATCCCATATGCTATAAAACTTTCTGCTCGTGTCAAATACACAAAGCCAAATAATATTTCCATGAATTTCAAATTTATGCAGTATATTATTTCTTATCCGATTCGTTGATCTCATCTTTGTAAAAGGCTTTTTAATAAGTGAAGACCGTAAAAACTGAGGCAAAAAAACTCCATCAAAAATAGTTTCCTTTAAACTTCTTTGACCGTATATATTGTTTGAACTCGAACAGTTTGAAAGTCAATCAAGAACTCTATTGATTTTCCGAAACATAAAGTAGAAAAGAAGTAATTTCTTGGAAGGAAATCAGGAAAGCAGAGGGAAGAGGATACACATGAAGAAGTGCAGCAAAAAAAAGAGCGAACGATCAAGAAATTTGGCTCAGAAGTTTGAGATAACTGTTAATAAGCATAAAAAACCTAAAATCTCAAGAAAAAAACGTGAAAATCTTTGGTTTTCTTTTTGACTGACAGTAGAATAACAAAGAAAAAATTTTTGCTATTTGAAAATACAGTTTGACTATTTCATGCGAAAGTAAAGCGGATCTATGAAAGAAAGAAAAAAGAGAATGAACAGTTAATGAGTTATTTTTTTGTTACATTAACAGATAATTACAATAAGTTCATATGATTAACCTTCGATTATAGATCGAACATGGGCTGCGATGTCATTGGTGTTACTTCCGCATCGGGCTACTGCCTGCAGTAATTGTCAACCTTACAGACAGAAAGCATATCTTACTAACAAAAACGATGCTATACAAAGAAAGCTTTTAA